GCAAAACAACATACAAACATAAAAGAATGCTAGGGGAGCTTTCCGTTGGAATGGACAGATGAGAGACTATGGAACGGAGAAAAACAGAAGGGGGATGTTACCTCTGTTTTTAAGGTTCTTTTCTGTAGACATGGAACCTGAGCCCAGTCTGGAGATCCAAATTTCATTGGCCAAGCAATTTTTCGGGGTGGCTTCATTTCTGGGTTGTATGTGCCAGGGCTAGAAATAAAAATATAAAACACCATGTCTAATGAGTTAATATCCATACACCAACTCCACAATTACCATAGCTATCCCCGAATTCTTGGGATTAGCTTTTTAACGTTGGGCAAGTATGGGGGTTCCTTTGCCTGTTAGTGTATTTCTAATCAGTTGTTAAAGGTATCCAGTCTTGACATTCAGCTAGGGTAAAGACTGACCTTTAGTTTAAAAAATATTTCTGCAACTCATATCCTTAGCTGAAAGACCAGAAGTGAGAAGTGGCAGATGATGAAAGAGGTGTATAACAGTGATGAATTAGTACTGCTCATGATTTGAAATTGAGGATAAAAGTGCTCCAATAATTTAATCTATCAGCAATAAAAAAAGTTTCTCCAGGGGATAGCAAAGTAGACCCAGTTCAATGTTCTTAATGATGGGTTTATTTTACAATTGTCTTTGTTCATAACACTTTGTCTTTTAGTGAACACTTTTTAGTGTGGAGGAAAGAGTGGACACGGGGGTCAAGATTCAACACTCCCACTTCCTTAACGCAACCTTGAGAAAGTTACATTCACTCTCTGATACTTGGATTTTTCATCAGTAAAAGACAGACAACCCTTTGCCCTACAATTCCATAAATCTCGAGTGGCTTCCTAAAGCATTTAGATTAAATCCCATGGCCTGCAAGGCCTACATAATCTATTCCCGGCCTCCTTCTCTGAACTCATTTCCTCCTTGCTCACTATACTCTAACCATACTAGCTGTCTCTTTTCTTCTTCACACCAAATTCCTTCACAGTTTATGGCCTTTGCACCTGCTGTGCCTTTTGCTTGGAAAGCTCTCTCCCCAGATCTTCACAGGGCTGGCTCATGCTTGTCACTCAGGGCTAGAATCAAACCGCATTTCCTCAAAGAGACCTATCTCGGCAATGGCAATCCTCACTAAAGCGGCCTCCACCCTGTCACTCCTTGTCCTATCATCACTCTGTTTCCTTTTCTTCATAGCACATCACACCAGGTCTCCATACTTCCTGGTTTGTCTCCTGGCAATCTGAGCTTGCAGCTAATGTCTTACCATAATTATTAACAAGACCCCCTTTCACTCCCAGAAGTGTCCCCAGCTTGCCTAATAAATGATACGGTCATTCTCCTTATTACCATTGATATTTTCTTGTTATTTCCTTCTCTTATTACGTTCTGGTCTCCAGAATGTAAACTCCAGGAAATCAGGAACCTTGTGTAATGGGTTTATTGCTAAATCTCTGGAACCTACAAAAATACTTGGCATATTAATAAATACTTATTGAATGAATGACTATGATTCTACAATTCTACAATGGCAGAGAACTGGGAGGCAAAAGGGTAAATTTCAAAGACAGAGTGGTTTCTTATTTAGCTGGAGTGGTTTGGATGTAGCCCCTTTTCTGTACCTCTTTTCCTATTGCTTTTTCTTCAAATGCACCAGAAAAATAGGAGACATACCCAGGATAAAAATCCTTTCTTGAATCGCACTTCCTACATCGAGGCAACATGGTATTAAATGGAGCATAAGATTGTTTATGTTTTTCCTCTGGAGACGGTACTTTCTGGTACATGCCTGGGTAAGGTGTTATATTCTGTTTCCAAGAAAAAGATCAAGATCGTGTTAGAGGGTGATATATACACACATAGAGCCTTCTAGATGGAGAAATTGGAATAATTCTCTTCCTGTTCATGAATCAACCACGGTTCAGCCACCTCAAGCTATAGAAAGAAATAGGCATACAGTAGGTGGAAAACCAAGATATGGGTATGGTTCAGTTACCTAAAGATATATAATGCTTAAAAAAAACAAACCAAATACATTGCCGTCAAGTCGATTCTGACTCATAGCAACCCTACAGGACAGAGCAGAAGTGCCCCATAGGGTTTCCAAGGAGCAGCTGGTGGATTTGAACTGCCAACCTTTTGGTTAGCAGCCAGGGTCTTAACCATGGCACCACCAGGGCTCCATATAACGCTTAGGATGTAGAAATAAACCCAGGGTGGGCAGACTGCCAAGGCAACTAACTACTTGCAGCCACTACTGGGGGGAGGCGGGAGGTTGCAGCCCCACTGCCTCACTTAGAGATTTTTAGAGCCAGCACTCCTGCAGCCCCACTCCTTCAACTTGAAGTGTCAGGATATTGTCCAATAGATGCAATCCTATGTACTACAGAGCAGAACTGCCCCCCATACAGTTTTCTTGGCCGTAATTTTTACGAAAGTAGATCACCAGGCCTTTCTTCTGTGGCACTGTTGGGTAGGTTCGAACTGCCAGCCTTTAGGTTAGCAGTCAAGTGCAAACAGTTTGCGTCACCTAGGGACCTTTAGGATCCTATACTGACTACTTTCAGACTTGACACTCACTTGCACAGAAGTGTGGACAAGTCGGAATTTGTTTTCTAACTGACAAGATAATTTGATGGAAACACAGCTTCTAGTATTTTTACCTCAGGTGTCTCTCAGCACCAAAGCCCTGTCTTGGGTTGATTTCTTCCCATGAATTATTTTCTGGTCTCCCCAGTTTACTCAGACACTCACTGGCAATGTGAATGTCCAAACATTTCAGGTAGGCTTCTTCCTTAATAGCTTTTGCCTAAATGCCTATTTTTCTTGAATTTCAGGGCATATTCTTTTAGGCAACCTACCCCTCTATGCCCTTTTCTCTCCATTACAAATACAGACAATAGAGGGCCACACCAAAATCTGTGTATGCTCAGCTATTTCTAACCTTGATTGGTTGAAACCTCAAGCTCGTTCTGGCTCCAAAAGCATATCCTTTTTTACTGGTTGGGATCTTAGTGAGGTTGTACGCCATGCCATATTTCTTCAGGTGGAATACATAAAAAGAAACAAAATCAAACAGTCAGAGAACATCACAGTCATCATTTAGTGGAACTCGGAATGCTCCTATCTGAACCTTCTCTGCAAGAAATTGCTCTTTCTTCCTTGTTTTGGTGCCTTCGAGGTCAATACACCAGCACCACACCACGCAATTACTTAAGTAACACAGGTGACTTTGCAAGGAGAATAGGGCTGGGTAGGTAGAGTAAACAACATTACTATGCATTCCTATGAATCCTGTCCTCTGAGCCCCACAGAGGTGAATGTACTCTAATGCATCTGTCAGCCAGATTATATTGCTATTTCATAAACCTACCGTCCTGCATATCAACAGTCTAGGTTTGGACTAATGGGAGGGAGGGCAATTGGCATTGGCTCACAGGTCTTTGGAGGTGTGAATGGAGTGGGGACTATTTTGGGGACTCTATAAGGCAAAGGCTTGCGTTTGGTGAGGCAGGAAGAGGGGAGCAAGGGTCACTGACTCTCTGGCACTGGCCCGGACAACTGGTTGTAGGAGTTCGAGGCACCTACTCATGTTGGGGACTCTGAAGATCACAAATCCCATGGAGTTTTTCTTCCATGAAACTTGAGTGTCTTTAGACAGCCCAGGAACTGAGACCCATCTAAGGGGAGGTGAATACTCACGTCTTCTGTCACGTAACATCCAGGCCCTCTGTGAGGAACTCCCCTCAGAGGGAGAAACTTGTTCCCCATTAAGTCTGGGGGATTGTAACAAGGAAAGACTTTCCTCTGCTGACATGTTCCAAAGGAATAGTTAATCAGCGATTCTGAAGATCAAGAAAGAGGAGAAACTCTACGTGAGGGAAGGCACCTCGGTCTATGTGTGCGCGTTGCGGGGCAGAGGGTGGTGTGTGGGGGAATGCGGCACAGAGGACAGGGCCCGACCGTGCTGTTAACAAAAACCAGAACCAACTCCATGGAGGAGGGCGAACTGCATTTCCTTCCCCTTTGTCTTTCCCAGCTTCCCCGCTTTCTCGTTCTCCTCCCCTCTACATAGGACTCCTCTGCCAAGGCCTGCCTCACCCGCCTCGCCGAAGCTGAAGCACATCGTGCACGCGCCTCTCGGGCTAGCACTAGTGTACTGCGTTGCCAAGGGAACGTAGGGGCGTCGGGCGCAACCCCTCAGCAGCGGACTTTGAGCGCGCCTGCGCAGCAAGTCGGGGCGCTCGAGGAGGCACCATTGGGGCGGGGACTCGCCCACTGGGGCGGGGCATCAAGGCAATTGTAAACTCTGCGACTGGGCTGACGAAAGTTGTTGGATCCGCGGCTGTACAGGCTACCGGGTGGGAGGGTGGACAGAAGGGCTTTGGAAACTGGCTTCTGGGAATGCGCTGTTGTGGAGGGACAGAGTGCCCCAAGACAGGGCTGCTAGGATCTAGGAGGGGAAAACGCAGCCGCTGCAGTGATGGTGTATCTGGGTGGGCTCCTTGGGCGACTCTCAGAGCAAGACCAATGGGGAGGGGTTTGGGAAGGGAGGGGGACGGAGAGGATAAATATCCCTGTATTAAACCAGTTGCCAAGAGTGGACTCCGACTCATGGCATCCCAAGTGTGTCAGAGTAGAACTGTGATCCATAGGGGTTTCAGTGGCTGATTTTTCGGAAGTAGATCACTGAGGTGCCTCTGGGTGGACTCCAGCCACCACCCTTTCGCCGCCCAGGGACTCCAGCTATGGTACTAGATTCTCTTAGACCCATTTTGGAAGGAGGCCTGCTGGTGCAATGGTTATAGCAGGTCTGCTGCTAACCTAAAGGCCTGCTGTTGGAATCCACCAGCTCCTCTGCGGGAGAAAAGACCTGGTGATCTGCTCCAGTAAAGATTTCAGCCTAGGAAACTCTATGAGGCAGTTCTGCCCTGTACTACAGGGTCACTCTGAGTCTGAATCGACTCCGTGGCTCACAACAGGTCCATTTTTTCTTTAAGCCATTCCAATCTAGTTACCTGGTTCTTTGGGGGATGGGGGACAAAAGGTCTGTAAAGGGCTGGAGGCCTTGGGCATCGCAGAAGTTGCTTAATAGGTTTAAAATCTTTGCCAGTCACTTAAAGCCCTAAACCTCAGTTTCCTAATCTCTAAATTGGGAATAGTAATTTTTCTCTATACGGTTTTTCAAGGAGTCCCTGGGTGGCACAAACTACCTGGAAGGTTGGTTGTTCAAACCCACCTAGAGGTGCCTTCAGAGAAAGGCCTGGTGATCTATTTCTGTAAGGTCACAGTCATGAAAACCCTGTGGCACAGTTCTACTGTGCAACACAGTCAGAATTGACTCTAAGGTTATAGGGTTAACTAAGATAACAGGATTAAAACAATTCAGTGCTTGGTACTTGGTCGTTGACAATAGGTTGTTATTACTGAAGATAATATCCAGTCAGCTCCCGAGCACCCCCATCCTGACCCAAGAAGAACCCTCAGGGCATGTATTGACTTCTTTACCTTTTCCTGGACTTTTTACTAGATTTTAGGATGGCTTTAGGAGTTGTCCCGGTGTGGGACGCAACTAGAACTATCTTCAGGGATGATTTTGTACATCTGACTTCCAACAGAGGTGATACTGAGCCCTAGAGGGTATATTGGAAGTGTGTGGAAACATTTTTGCTTATTAAAAATTATTGGGGGATGCTTCTGTTCAGCGGACCAGGGGTACTGGACATCCTGCTTTGCATTGCCCAGTCACACACAGTAAATTGTCCTGTGTCCCATATAACATTCAAATGCCCTGCTGGACGTTGAAAAAAATTTTATAAAAAATAATGCAGAAAGTTCAGTAATATAGGAGGTCATTATGAAGAGCAAAACTTAAATAGACTAAAGATATGCTCTCAAAATTACTGTATAATTAACTCCAAGCATTCTATCTACTAAAAATATAATTGTAATAATACTGATAATAAATGAGGAGGGATATCGATAATAATTGATAATTTTTGCTTTCATTAATATTTAGGTAATATTAATATTTCTAGGCACCCAGAGTGTTTTTGAAAATAACGTTTACGTGATTAGTGACACGAAACATCTTACATAGTACTTTGAAAATATGGGAACCCATTCCAGCAATGATAGGCTGGCTGGCTTCAGACTAATCCTCTGGCTGAGAATAGCTACAAAAGCTGAACTAACTAAATAAAAAAATATATATGTTTAGAGACATCAGAGCTATAACAAGGAAGAAAGGACTGCAAGGCCAATATCTCAGGTAGAGGAGCCCAAAGTAGTGAGTCTAACAGTTGGTGCCACTGCTCCCTGTGAACATTTGCTAATTAAAAACCTGGTTGAGAAGTAGAGGATTTGAGCAGAACTTTGGACAGTCTCTGAGAGCCGAGGAACAAAAATTAGTCTGACCATGGAAGGGGAGGGGCTAGAAAACATCCTGAGCTTTCAGCTGGGACTCCAAAAGGATAAACCTTAGGAATAAAGGTAAACAAGAAATAGAGCAACTCTCAAAAAACCCTGCAGTCCAGCTTTGCAGCATTTCAGTACGCAATTGCGTTACGGTGATCTGCTTCTACCCTTACTGCATGCCAGAAACGAAAGGAAATATCTCTGAAGATAATATCATCCAGAGTCTCAACTGATTTTTATAATTTTTCTGTACCAAATATTTGGCATTCAATAAAAAATAATAAATAATATTTAAATAACCACTTATACAAAAACAATAGAAATAGACTCAAAGGAAATCCAGAGATTGGACTTCAAGTATAATTGGTTTGAGATTCTGGAAGAAGCAACAAGACTGGCGAGTGAACATAGAGAAGCAAAGTAAGGAAATATGTGACCATTAAGCAGATTCTTGGCTTCTAATATGAGAGGATAAAAGAAAAAGGCCAGACCCTAAAAAGAAAGTGAAGAAAGATCTCAGTATACTCAAGGAAAGTGAAATCTCCCGTTAACCTTCCTGTTCATCCAAACAATTTAACACACAACTGGGCCCGCATACATCCTGACTGATGCCAACTTTATCAACTTTTAATTAAAGCCAATTTGAATTTAGTACAACCAAAGATGGACCTCTATATGCCAAATGTATCCCCTGTATAACAAATTACAGAATGGTAAAAAATGAGACAGTAAGCCAGAATTTCAGGTAGCGGTAAGGATTATCAAGAATCCAATATTTGAATGACGACAATGCACAAAGGAACCTATGCAGGAGACTGTTCAGAACAGAGGAGTGCTTAGCCAAGCTTTTATATTGTAGCCGCTGTTGACCAAGACCGAAGTAAAGAATTCAGCAGTTCCCATCATGTACATTTCTGACCTTAGTTAAAACGTTGAGAGGATGCCAGATGTTTATGGAGAATGTTACAGCTTTATGAGACAGTTAGCTGCCTTCCTTACGTTACTGTCTCCGTCTCTGAGGCCAATTCATGAAACATTGTGTGATTCTAAGAATTATTAATCCAGGGAGACATTTGCTCTGTTGCAGTAGTCTAATTGAATGGGAATAAATAAATCGACTTTTTGGTAATCTCAGAAACATGGTGGCGCAGTGGTTAAAGAGCTCTGCTGCTAACCAAAAGGTCGGGAGTTTGAATCTACCAGCCGCTCCTTGGAAACCTGATCCGGCAGTTCTCCTCTGTCCTACAGGGTCACTATGAGTCGGAATCGACTCGACAGCAATGTGTTTGGTTTTTTTGGTAATGTTCTAAATGGATTTTGTCTCATTAAAAAATTTATTGAATTAAATAAAAATAATTCATCACAGAGGATAAAACTGATTATTATATTCAAGAAATTAAATGACAAGATGGTGAATTTTAGAAGCAATAAGAAAGAATCGAACACAAATTTTAGAAATAAAAAGGATTATACCTGAAAATAAGAACTCAATGCATGGGTTTACCAGATTAGAAAAGCTGAAAAATGAATGAATGAAATAGGAAATGAATCAGAATAAAATGTCCATACTGAAGCTTGGAGAGGCCAAAGAATAGAAAATATAGAAAAGAGTGAAAGACAGATAAGAAACAATAAAAAAATCTAATGCACATATATTCAGAGACCCAGAGGAGTGGAAAGAGAGAGATTGTGGAAGACGTAAGAACCGAAGAAATAATGGCTGCAAATATTTCAGAACTGAAGAAAAATATTGAACCAGAGATTAAACAAATACTGCAATCCCAAGCAAAGTAAATACAAAGCAGACATCACTTGGGTATATCATAGTAAAGCTGATGAAAACCAAAAAAAAAAAAAAAAAAAAAAAACCAGAGAAAATCTTGAAAATAGCCAGATGTAAAAAGGCATATTACTGTCAAAGAAACAACAATAAGCCTGACGGATGACTTTTCAATAGAAACAATAGAATCCGGAGACAATGTAATTGTATCCCCAAGTGTTGACAGAAATAACAGTGAAGGGATGGAAAATATAATTCCATACTAAGACTAACAAAAAGAAAGCAATGCATCTTTACTAATAACAGACAAAAGAGGCATTACTAAAGATAGGGATATTTTAAATCAATAAAAAGGTCAATACCCCTGGAAGCTGTAATATTTTTAGATGAATGTGTACCTCTATAACAACATGGCCTCAGAATATATTAAGCAAAAAATGATGGAATAAAATGAGAAAGAAACCATTCATAATGGAAAATTTTAATACACCACTCTGAGTAGCTGATAGAATAAGCAGACAAAAAAATAATCAGTAAGGATTTAGAAGATTTGACCAACACTACTAACAAACTTGACTAAATTGACATACATAGAACATTGCATTGACTAGCTGCAAAATACATAATATTTTTAAGTCACATGAAACATTTAACAAAACTGACCATGTGCTGAGCCATAAAAGAAAGATTTAACAAATTTCAGAGGATTGAAATCTCAGTCATACAGAATATGTTCTTCGACCTTAATGAAGATAAGCTAAAAATCAATAACAAAAGGATAAAAAGTTAGAAAGTATTTTAACTGAGTAATATAGAAAACATGATATATGTGTGCATTGTAGCCAAAACCATGAGTAGATGGAAACTTGTAACATTAAATGCAGGTATTAGAAAAAAAGAAAACCCGAAAACAATAATTAATCTAAGCA